TGTGAAGAATATATTTATATGTTAAGTTTAAAAATAATAAAGCATTAAAAATTTTCTTGGGCCTTGGAATTATGAAATAGTTACAAGCCAACAAGTAACTAAACTCAAAATACTAATTGTCAAACCTATTATGCTACTTTTATTGAAACTAAATTATTTTCACCATATTCACTAGCAAGACACAAGGTATTGTAGCGATTAGGAGTAGCAACCTACAATTTGAATATATTTCCTTTCGTATGAACAAGATTTATCTTTTTGAAATGTTTAATCTTCTATAGACTTTATTCTTGAATCTCAACTTGGTTAACTTCTTTCCACTCGTGTGATTTATATTTTCTTTGTATTTTCTTAGTTTCGTTTACACTGTTGTAAAATATTTGATGAGTCTATACTCTAGCCATGTTTCATATTTTCTTAATTCATTACCTTTTAAACTGTAAAAATATTTAGAGTGTTTTGCTAAATCATATAAATTACGTATGTTATTGCAATCTATTCTACTAGTGACTTATACATGATATTTATAAAAATTATCGAAAATTTATCGAACCGTACCGATACCGAAGAGAAACCGACATGATTGGGACGGTTTCGAAAAGTCTAATTTTGGTTATACATAATAGAATAACCGAAAAATTGGTATGGTACAAAATTTATAAAATAACCGTCCGAACCGAACCATTGACAGCCCTACTCTAGAGTAGGTGGAAACAAGAGTCTCGTTGAGCTACTAGAAGATGCAAAGGGTAATCGATTGGCAAGATCTTCTACAAGCTTTAAAAAAGTCAAGGTTAACATCAATACATAATTGTTCTCCTATATTTTAGAAAGCAAAAACCAATCAGAGAGGGGAATTGATTAGATTGTTATCGACTTGTACCCAGAATAAAGTTCATTGCAATAATGCCTTTTCAAGAATTACTAAAAGAAAGAGCAATGGAGAGCCAACCAGAAATAAAACATCTATCAGGTCAAACCACTTAAGAATTAGAATATCAAAGTAGTTTTCATCACAACACCGTAGAAGTTCTCATCAAATGTGTAGATATATGACTAAAAGAGAATAGCGGAATCGGAGAATATGAATATCAGAGCCATAATTAAGGTGCTTGATTCAGCAGAAATAAAGTAGATGTGCTGAGGAAAGCAAGTGATGGATACAGTGACTTACGGTGGTCACTTTCCTTGTAAGCCTTTATTTATCACCTAGAGTCTCCCACTCTAAGACTCCGAACTTCTTCATTATCTTTTGTTAATAATGGATCAGATCAAAATTGCCTGCTAAACTTCTCTCAGCACTTGCGAAGTTCAACTTTTTTAAAGTTAGAACAAATTTTTCCTCGCGAGCTTGGAGTTTCAAATTCTAAAAGAGGTTATTTATTATGATACACAAATCAAGTGAATAGAATGAAGTTTATGAATATTCAAAAGATGGATATACCAGTGAAGTTTTATGGTTTAAAAGTTCATTTTATGATGGTATTAAACCTTTGAATTTACTTTTTTTTTCTTCTTAAGAATGGTTTTGGAATAGAAGTGGTTCATTAGTATTTTTAGACAAAATGATATAATACTTCCAGTTCAGCACATGTTTTACTAAAGCACATCTTTTTCTTGAAGCTATATATATATTAAGATACAAATAGTAGAAACTTCGTGGAAAAACTTAACATGCTAATTCTAAAGTTATAAATTCTATTTTGCACTTTTTGTTTCGCTAATTATTATTGTTGATCGCTTAGGTGCACTGTTAATTAATGGAGACCTTGTGATGCTTGTAGGAGTAGTACCGGAGAAATACTTCGAGAGCAACAGCTGAAAGAGTGGTAAAGTTCTTGTCAGTTGGATTATTTTCTCTGGGAAGAACTAATTGGTTCATTTAAAAAAATTTAAGGGTTGTGCAATCTTTGTCATGATTGGAACTGATAACTTATAATCTTCTGATGCAGTAATTAGACTTTGTTGGTTGATTAATACAGTCGATATCACTTGGTGAGGATTAATTGTCATTTATTTCCATTATGTGATTTGTTTGGACTCTAGCACTTTTAAATTTTATCAATTTTTCTTCCTCTGTATTTTTGAATTTTTGTGATTTGATCTTATTCAGACTGAATGATATAATAAGTTCCAACTGTACCGCATCGCAAAATAGATGGATTGCTTGCGCACTTTCTTGACTTATATAGCGATCTAACCTTTTTTGCGCTATCATTTGCTTTTATGGATCTAAAAGGCATATATCATATAAGATCAACTCCGTTCACCTCGATTACTGAGTTCTTTGCAGGTTTTATCATAAGAAGTATGAGAATTATATTGAGATAATCAACTACATCTCATCACTTATCTAATCAACCTCGACTGCTGAGTTCTTTCTAAGTTTTATCTTTAAAAAATTATATCAGAATTATACTGAGAGAATGAATTTTATCTTATCACTTATCTATCCTCTACCCTAAAAATCCTATACACCTCCGTCCTATAGAATTTCTTCAGTTCCATACATCCTCTCGTCTAACTGTACTTTCTAGCCTTGATTTTCTTCTCAGTTGGTCTTACAAGTGGTCAAAGATTTTCTTCACGTGAAGTATTTTCTTCTAGCCTTAATTTTTTTGTTAGTAGAGTCTTATAGTGTTTAGTAATTCTCATTTAATTCTTTTGTAGCTTCACTCTAACAAACACACGCATGCCCAATTCGTCATTGCCAAGTAGGAGCTCCTTTGTTGAATTTTGAGATATTCAGCAAGCATGTAAGGCACATATATGTTAATTGAAAAATACACCTATATTTGCGATGAGACATGACGAAAACTTGAAATGAAATATATTAGTTTTTGAATTTTTATGCAATAAATGAAGATAGACCACGTAATACTGGGAGAACAGCAAAATACATCAAGTTAACAATTTATGTGCTCTTTTAATGTTTTGCAGGAAAATGCCGGGGGGAGATGCCAACAACTCATGCTGATTCTGGAGTTTGTCTTTTTGCAACTTATTTGACTGTAAAATCTTTTTTTATTTTAGCTTTTCTGAATTATTTGTATGTATGGCTTTTTAAAGTAACACTAAGTTTATTCTGTTTTTGCAACTCTTCTATTTTTCTTCTTTATATTGTTTGTATGTATGGTTTTCAACGTGAGACTGAAGCAGTTCATCAAATGTTGTCTCTGAAACAGTTCATCAAATGTTGGGCCCGTGCCAGCATTCACCACCTAGTTTTCTATACTATAGAAGAGAAAGAGTTTCGACATGTCTGTTTCATGTCATTTTTAAAAAGCTCGAGGATATATTAGTCATTTCGCGTCAATGCTTACAATATCTAGAACTCAAACTCTCTCAGTCAACATACGGAGTATTAGGTTTTCTTTAATTCAGATTTTGAGAGCGATCCTTGGTCAAAGTAATATGGCTTTTAAGCCAATATAAAAAAAGTTAGTTTATCCAACTTCTTGGTTTTGGCTTTTTTTAAGCAGATTTTAACTTTTTTCAAGCTATTTTTTTGGTTGCCAAACACATCCATCAGTTAAAAGGGGCTTAAAAGCTGGTCAAAGCTTGAAAAAAGTTAAAATCTGCTTAAAAAAAGCCAAAACCAAGAAGTTGGATAAACTAACTTTTTTTATATTGGCTTAAAAGCCATATTACTTTGACCAAGGATTTTATTTTCTTATCCATTATAAGTTTTCGTAATACCCAAATTACCCTCAGTAAATAAAAATCTAAAATTTCCTATTTCTCTATCTTTTTTTCACTTTAGAACAGAGCAGTCCACCTTCTTTCCTTTTCCTCTTCCTCTCCGTTTCATCTTCATTTTTCTGCATTTTTGATAAGTACTGTTCATGCCAAAATCCACTCTAAATCTCAAAGTTAACTCAAAAAACAAAGAGAAAGTTTTGGAAAAGAAAGAGCAAGATCTATAAATTTTAAAAGAGATATGCAAAAAGAAAAAAAAAACAGAACATAGCAAATCCTTTGAACTTGACAACAATGTTGTCACTAGTTGCTGCTAGATTCTCTAAAGAATTTGAGTTTTTAGGTTTTGAGGTTGGCCACCAATCAAGCCTAAAACTAAACAAAAATAATCAATTAAATTAAAATATAAATTATTTTTTATTTGAATTAACTCATAATTAAGGTTATTTCTGTCTTTTAACAAAAAAAAAGTACTTGCTAGCACTTATTTACCAAACACTTCAACAACTTTTTTCAAGTTTCAGCATTTTTATCCAAATATGTAACTACTTATTTATAAAATAAGTTCCAACACTTATAAAGTGCTTTTAAGCACTTAACTTAAAATTTACTTTTTTTAAGCCAACCCAAACGGGCTCTACATCTAGTTGCAGGTAGGCTTTCAATCAATTTTGAACGTATCTTTTTTCTACTTTTTCCTTCGTTCTTTTTCCGTTTTGGGTTTCTTCTAGGTTCTCTTCATCATTGTTAGTTTTCATTCTGAAGTTCAGCGATTGTTGTAGGTTCTTTTCCCATGTTTTGTCTCTGATTTTCCCCAGATCCTTCTTCTCTTTCTTTTAATTTCTGCCCTATCTTCTTTTGGGTTCTCTATATGATTTTTAACTTTGCAATCTTATCGCAAGTGTGTGTTAAATCGAGTGGTAAAACTGTGTTTTTAAACTCTAAGCATGCTGAGTATTGTACTTCCGTGGTTTTCTGTGTTCTATCAGTACTTCTTTTATTTTGCAATTTCAGGGCTGATGTATGCTAAATCGAAGGCTCCTGTAGGTGCTAAATCGGAGGCTGATACTCAACAAGTCTTAATTTAGGATTTTTTTATTTATGGAATTGTTTGCAACTCAAATTTTATCATTAGATGCACTGTAATATGATAGAATTCCAAATCATCACTTGCAACCACGTGATTCTACTCTGTTTAACTTAATTTGTATACCAAGTTGGCCATGTGGCCTAGACTTTGCAAAGTATGCAGCTCCAAGTATTTTCTTACGTATTGTAGTTGGACATGCAGATATGGTGAATCCATTTTAGATGCAGATGTGAGCTCCCTAAGAATTGTTAGGAAGAATGGAAAGGCTGCATTAAACACAACTGCCAAGTATTTGCTTACATACTGTAAATGCACTAAAGGAGCAAGATCCAGATACAATATCCATAAAGATAAAAAGCATATAACAGCACTTCATATGACTATTGGTCAAGATACTTCTTTGGTCGAGGAGGAAATACTGAATAGTGACAACTCAATATTGATTGAGCGCGACACGAAGGGCAACACAGTCTTGCATATAGCCACATGAAAATGTCGTCCACAGGTATCAGTTTATTAAAAAGCTTCTTAAGCTTATGGCATGATTCTTGCTATTCCGAATACATCAAAGATCTACATTTATTTCCGGATGACAAAGTTAAATCTCATATTTCTATAGCACTTATGTTCCTGAACTGTGCATTATTTTTATTCGTAAAGATTGAGTCCTTGAGCTGCCAATATTATCCTCCATTTCATATATCAATCCTCTCGAGTGTCTATGTATGTATTTCTATTCACCTACATTGGCACACGCATCTTCCCTTTTTTATGAGCAGCTGTGCTTTTTGCAGATCTACTTTTTTTTAACATTTTCCCGAATATTTTGATGTGTTGTATTGATTTTTATGATTAATTCAATTAATTGAGCCCTCCATTATTTTGATTGTTCGTTATACTTGCTCCTTTAGATATTTTGGGAACTGTTGAACTTAGGTTCTATTAAATTCAGATCCATAGGGATTTTAGTAATTCTGTAGATTTAATGTCATAGGATTTTGAACATATTTTCCCAATTTGCAGAATAGAGTCAAATAGGTTAATTCCTAATGCCACTATATACTCTGTTGATGAGTTGAAAAGTTATGACAACTCTTTACATGAAAATGTTAAACAGAACCAGCAAGAAGGCCAACCTAATTTAGCTTATCATTTGAACCATATGGAACTCCACTAAAAAATAGTTTAGCAATCTGGTAGAAATTCATAACAAAGAATTAGAATCTGTTAAGTAAGGCCCTATACAGCTGAGCTGTTAATCATTGCACAGGCAGCAAGTTGATGGCTACTTGATGGAGCTTTGTTTGCTTGTGCTCGCGCTAGGAGAACCTCTTTTTATCAGATTGCATCATTCAATATAATTCTCGTGAGCCTTTTGTCAGCATGTTGATGGAATTGCATATAATAAAAGTTGCACATCAGGTAGGCAACTCTACGAGCTAGCTGCCGGCTATTATGTACATATCTGGATCAAAATATACATTGTTTACATCCATGGGCAGTAAATAACCCGGACAATATCTGTAGTATTTACATCATATCCGGCATAGCTATAAATTAGCTAACATTGTTGACATAGCTATTTACATATTAGGCAACAGTGCTGCATGAAACTGTGGTGTTTAGTTTTCTTGGCCTTCTTCCGAGCATGTATTGACAATAAAGGCCTGTAAACAAAGAAGCAAGTCAATATTATCTGCCTTAGTGAACTTGTCTGAGGTTGTAGAAAAGATGAGACATTCAAATGCATAAAGATGAAGTGCTTTCATAATCTCAACAGATTCAACTCGGAAAAGAAATGCAAAGTGTGCTATCACAATCTTTTCTAAGTATGCATCTCAAGTATGTAATATCAATACTTTAAGCAATTATCATCGTATTAAGAGTGCTTGAGTAAGCACTCTGAGATTCAGCAAGCTAGAAAATTAAGTCTGTCATAAATTTTTAATAGCTCACATGATATATAATGAGAACTATCCAAAGATACTTAATAACCACAAATGCATTTAGTAATAAATTTAAAAATCAAACTACTTTCCCATAGTCAGCTAATTAAAAAAATAACCTGATTCTGTAAGCAGTCGCAAAGCTTTTTTTTTTTTTTTGGGTGGGGGCTGCAGAGGAGAAGAGCTACACAGAGTAAATAGCAGAGAGATTGATTTTACAAACCATTAATTGGTCTAATCAAGCCACAAACCTTCAATCTCAAAAGACCTCCAGAAACATAAGATCAAAAGCTTTTGCACTGTCCCAAGTTCTCATTCTTAGAGCTAACAAATACTCACAATTGTAAATATTTGACATGGGTATGAAGAAAGAAAGAAAACGAGAAAGAGCTTTTTCGTGCAAGTTCAACAGCTCTATGCGTATTGATTGGGCGGTGAATTTACAAAGATATAGCAAAAAAAAAAAAAAAATTGGAGTGCACAAAATAACGTACATATCATACCCTTTTGAATTTCTATTTGCAACAGTTATTTCAAGGGACATTGTTATTTATAATTTTAATACTTAGTATCTTTTGTAAGCTTGCTTGTAATCAGTACCAGACTACACAATCTATACATCGAAAGAAATAAAGATGAATAAATTTTCCGGGCAATAATTTTGCTGGGATGTAGATTTTGATTTGTAACTAGTTGAATGTACACCCAAAGGTCTCAAGAGACTATATTGAAGTTTGCTACGGGGGATTGATGTGATTCTTAAGCTTGAGATGTTGACTTTTTTCTCAGGAAAGCTTCTGAATTTGTCAATGCAGGAAATAAGACTTTGTAGGTATTGCTTTAATCTTTATGCTTCAAAGACTTTGAATAAAAATTTCATGCTCGCTTAGGAAACCATCACTATACTGAATCAGACTAAGGTAGTTATCTTGGATGGAGATTAAGACTGCCTTAATTAGAATTGGTAATTTTGTGAAATTTATGCCGCTTGAAGAGCTTTATGAGCATAGTGAGCTCTCCTTATGGTCAAAAGAACCAACACAAAGTGGCTGAGGACTGCAAATTAATATTTTCATGTTGTGCTTGGATGAATCAGGGATAAATTGAGGGGGGAAGAAGCAAAGACTTCTATTGTGTCTTTATTTATTTTCATTCCTAATATTAATGTTAGTCAAAATTTCATATAAACATGATTTGTTGTGCGGAGAGATTAAATTGTTTTGGTCGTGGATTTACGTATATTCAATCTTCAAGAGTTGCTTAATTTGTGCATTAGAAAAATGCCCGTAGAGAAATTATGATGTGCATTAGGAAAATATCCATGGAGAATTATGATGTTCTCATATCAAATGCTTCTCCATCTATTTTTGACTTAAGGATTATTTATGGTCTGTACATGTTAGAGGCAGATTCCTCATAAATTTACGATACACGTACATGTTCCATCGTGGAAAGTTGATAAGGATCTTTTTGTTTATTGTACTTTTTCTCGTAGCAGTTTTGGAGTTCATAACGAGTTACAACTTTCTGTTTCTTTAGTAGAAAGCTATCATTTTTCTGCTAATAGACGATCTTTTGGTTACTACTAAAATCTTGATTGTGTGATATTTACCTACAGATGTGACTGGCAACGACGGGAAGAGCTTGGTGTATTCAGCCTGGTGAGCGCTATCATCTTATTCATGTGTATATGATCGTTTTCGATAATCAATCGTTAAGAATTTCGAGGACTCCTTTGCTATCGAATTTTTCAATTAACAGTTTAAAACTTGGTCGCATTTCTGAGCTCCTTTAACCAGAGTTTGTATATGTATATGAAGTTAGCAATTTTTATTCGGTATTGCAGTTTACTAATTTCTGTTTTAAGTTTATATCATTTATTAATTATAGAAGGTCATTTTTTGTTTGTCGCTGTCAACATAGTTTTTCCTTATTATTTTGTTGGTAGGTTCAAAAGGCTACTCGGTATCCGAAATCCATTGGTACTTTATATGAATATAAAAATTGACTGTCCTGGATATAAAAAATTTGGTTGTTATTAGATCATATATTCATATTAAAGTCTAAGCATTGGATTCTTTTATTTTCCTTGCCTTTTCGCTCTTTAATAAGACATTATTAGAAGAGATATTAATAATGCTAAAAAAGTCTTTTGCATGCATTTTATAGTAAAAGAATTCTATGCATTTTGTAGTAATTATAGTTGTTGCATGTACTGTTTAGTGTTTCCTTTAAGTTCCTTCTAGCAGATGAAATGTTCAAAAGGACTTTTTTTTTACAGTTAAATAATCCATCACAATGCAATCGTATTTGTGAATCTGATACAATAAAAAATGATGTAGTTTCTCATAGAGCCCCATTTTTCAAGGTATTTATCAACGCATTTCAACAATGATTAAAAAATAAGCATTTTACCTATTAAGTTATTCAACTATTTTAAGTCAAGTTTCTAGACCATGCATAAATCAGGATAATATTCAAGTTAACTTGGTCCATGTATGAGACCAAATGGGACACCTGAAGGACATTATAATGCTTAAGAGGCATTATGCCAAATGAAGAAATAGCTGTAGAGATTATTAAGGAGCAGGCGTGCTCTTTCCAGTGGATATGTTCCACTTACGCTTGGTTGTCTCTCAAATTTTTTCTCATTGCTTCGGTTGGACTCACTAATTCATTCAAAGATTAGAAGGGCATCTCTTAGACGAGAGGCGGATCTAGGATTTAATATTTATGGGTTCCTGTAACGACTTCGAGTAAATTTTCAATAGTAACTGAGTTCACATTTAAACATTTGTAGATATTTAATAAATTTTTAAAACACATTTACACTGTTCGGACAAAAGCTACTGGGTTCACGGGAACCCGTAGATGACAGGCTAGATCCACCCCCGTCTTAGAGTTTACTTCTTAGAATGATCTGAGACAATATATGTAAAATTGCTTATTACCTTATAAAATATATTTAAAATTGTTTAGCCTATCAAAAAGACCTAAAAGCCTTGGAAGGAAAACATTACTTTTTGTTGTTCAAAAAGAAGGTCTAGGAAGGAAAACTCAAAACAAAGAATTTATAACATAACTTCTTGTTCTTTGCAATATTTGCTGCTTTGGCTGCTTTGAAATTAATTTGCGAGGTCCATGGTTCTTTGGTTAATTTAACGCATCGAGTTATTCAACAGGTACTTAAATTTCTTTTATATAAATCCCTCCCTGAAACTCTTTTATCTTGTATAGCGTATCACAATACTGAGCTGGAAAAGTTTCTCTTTAGAAAGGTTAAAAACTTCTTTAGCTCTCAACTACTTCAGCTTACTATCTTGATCAAACTTTTTTATGGATTATACATGACAAATATGATAAGCTACCAATAGGAAAAGCAATAAAGAAGCACATCAACATGTACTTGCTAAGAGAAAAAAAGAAGAAAAGAGAAAGTACGATATCTTGCACCAGAAAAATTTTGTGGCCAAACCAAGGAGAAGCTCATTAAGTAAAGCAAGTTTATGAGTCATAGCATGTTCTTTAAGAGATTTTATGGGTTACAATTGGCTATCTTCATATAACATTACCATAAAGAGTTAGTAGCAAAATATCGACACTATATGTAATTTACTGTGAATTATTCATAATGCAATTAAACTTTAAACGTGTCATTCTGCAGCAGTTGCTCTTATTTTTGAAGTTTCTTGTGGCATTTACTGATGTTGAAGATATTTTATTATTGAAGATAGTTTTGCTATTGTTTTATGATGTGGTTGGAGGCACTTTTTGTTGCTATTTCTGTATGCAGTTGAAGACACTTCTTCTGCTGCTTCTTTGATGTTATTGGAGCCACTTGTTATTTCTGGATGCGATGGAAGCCATGTTTACTGCTGCTTTTTGGATAATTGAAGAAAATTTTGCAGCTATTTTCTGGATGGTGTTGAAGTCACTTTTTTCTTAGGTTAGTTCACCTGTTTATTATCTTTCTATGGTGCTCTCAAGTTCTTCTCATATTATTCTAATAACTCATTCTTCGTGGTTTAATTACCACGTCAATGCGTGGTATTTCTTTGCTTGAGCATTTTTAACTGTCTTCCGATCTTGATCTTGGAGTTATGGTACCATCATTTTAGAGGCAAACATTACTTATAAAAACTGGAGTTTTTCAAGTATGCTAAATTTTAATTTACCGAGTTTTTGAAATCAGGGGACGACATAAAATTGTGATTTTGATAAATAAGCAAGGCTGGATTAGTGTACTGAGTTGGCCAAAGTTATTGTTTCTGTCTCACTACTTACTAATGGTTGCTACCGTTTTTGAAGTCAAAGTGGAAAGAAAAAAAGATTAGAAGGAAGATTATAAAAGGTAACTTTCTATGTTTTAGAATTCTGAATGAAAATTAATAAAGAAAACTTTAGTTCCTTTGACAATTAGTGATGAATTTAATGATTGGGAGAAGAAAATTAAGAAGGAAAAAAAGAAGATGATTCGTGCAGTACATCGTGCTCTTTCGTGAAAGAATGCGAACATGTGTCCCCTTAAAAAAATGATGTATATGCTTCAATAATTTATTTTCTAAACCGTTCTTTTCCCCTGTAAAGAGTACAACATGCCTGATCTAACAATCATTTAACGAGATTGTAGGCAATTCCATGAAATAAAAATTATGGATGATAGACTGTAGAACCATTGATAGGTTTAACACGTGTGTTTAACCGAAAATTAGATTTTAGGTCAAAGCTTGAATTTAGAAGAACTCAGGTTACTGATAATCGGAAAAAAGTATATAAGAAAGAGATTTGTGAATGATATAATCAGAAAGCAAATTTCTCAAAGTATATTTCAGTAGTGTTTTTTTTCCGTCCCTTTACAGTTGTTTGCGACTTTCCCTTTTATAGCTGTTTTGGGAATACAGACTTTACCTTTGCTATAACAAGACAATTATGGGTAATTAATGACCTTAAATATTACGTTATGCAATCATATACATTAAATTCATATTCTCTAACGTTTCTAGTATTTAATACTCATTAAATGCTGTATCTGAGCTCTTTTTTGCTGTCAGATTCATTCCTTTGACTCTTCTCGATCTTTAACCTTTGAATGTCTTGAACAGGTACGAGCGTTGAATTATTTGTATGACTGCTCGTGCCTTCTTTATTTAACTTGCTCGTATCTGTTGCTGCTCGTATCTGTTGTTGCTCGTATCTGTTAACCAACCTTAATTCTTTGACTGTTTGATCAGTCTACGTGTCATGACATGTCACCATATATATATAAATACAATTTTCCCCAATACAGATAGTCCCCCCACTTTCCATTTATTCGACAGTTTGAATATTTGGGAAGTGGAATTCATTAAAGGAGAATTTTGTCACCATTAATGTTCTGACAGAGTTGACGCTTCAATTATCACTTCCATTTAATGCTTTAGACACGTGTCATCTTCTTACTGGTTCCACAGTTTACAACACTTTTTCAGGCTGTCTTTTCGGCTCCACTGTTCATGAAGTATCAGTTACCATTATTGTGATCCTTCCATTACTGCGTTTTTACTTTTGACGGTCGCCCATCAGTATAAATTCAATTTTTCCTTTCACCTTTTTACCACATAAAACTTTTTCCTCGAACACTTGAATTGTGCGAATCTCTGTTTACTTCTTTTTCTTCCTCATCATGTCTTCTTCGAACCCTAACC